TCTAGCTAGGATCTTTTCGTGCTCAGGCGACTCGCAGCTGCCAGACCGCAAGACTGATACTACTATTTCCGCTATTGCTAAAGCGCAGCCCTTCGTAAAATGTCGAAAGACGCACGTGTACGCGAAAAGAAACCGCAAACTGAAGGTATAAAACTACATGTATTAACTTTTATATAGGGGAAACATCGATCGAATTTATATAGGATATTCTGGAAATCACATTCTCTAGCCATATTGTAAAAACTATATAATGAAAAAAATAATAATTCTGACAATATTCAGACATTAATTACTTTGGGATAAACAATTTAAGTTTATAAGTTCTAGCCAATACTGGAGGCCCCGGCCTTATATTAGGCTCCATCCGCCACTGCTATTTGGTACAGTGAGGATTTTAGTATATATTAGAGGGATCTTGAGGAATGTGGTCATTCTACGGCTCGTGCTTGCTCGTCGATGCCGTTTCATAAGGAAGGTCAGTCGGAAGCCAGCATGCACGCGAATACCTCCACCGGCACTTATTTGGTCAGCGAGCGACCTTTGAGGAATCTTCCATAACAATCCGCATTGCATCCATCGAGTGAGATACCAACATCGCTCTGGAGTCGCATATCACTGTGTTAAAAAGCAGTATTAGGTGTGAGGTCTGGATAGCTCAGTGGTCTAGAGCAGTTGCCCGGAAAGCGAAAGACTCGGGTTCGATTCCCAATCCAGCCACTTGCGCCTCATATATTTTTCTAATCTACAAAATATTGTTTTCTAGCAATTATTCGTTAGGCTGAAAAATGTGTAAATGCTCTCTCTGATACATGATATGCGTCAATACCGTTGCCACGGATGGATTCTATCGCTCGTTGATCAAATAGGCATAGTAAAGACACGTCCGACCTCTTCCCACATACATCCCTATTTTTCTCTGGATTCAATGTAAAAGAATATTTAATCTAAAAAAATTATAAGAAGAGATAGCATATCTGTATAATCAATTCCGAACTTGAACAAGGATATATCTTCTGTGACTTATTATGACTAGAAAAGCATCAAAATTACACGATGATGATAAATAAAAAGTTTAAACAAACACTGGGATAAATGAGGAATCATATGATGAATAAGAGGTCCTGCACATATAACGAATTACAAAATTGCGATTTTATCAAATTTTTTGCGACCGATTCTCGAAGCAAATAAAAAAGTGCAACAGCTAGACAGAACAAATGAGCGACGTGGGTGACCAATTTGCACGAAAAGTCCTTACTAATAGGTAGCAAACAACGGAGCCATTCTCGCAAGTCAATCCAATTGAACAGACTCAAAAGCGAACAGCGACAGACAAACACGATCGGTTATCGAAGCGATTAAACGTACATATCGCCGTGTCTGGCTACATCCCGGCCGCGTGCAAATATGCGCGGGCAAACTCGGAAGCCGCGCTTCTCCAACAAGGAAACACCAACCACGTCGACGTGGCGGACGTTCGTATGCACAACCGGCGCCGTCGTGCTCTCGTGGGAAATGCCGTCAATTATATTTGCGGCATGACGAGCGGCCATGGACAAGCGCGCGAGGTACGCCCGGAGTTCCCGAACGAGCGGGAACTCCGGGATGGATCGTTCTCCTCTTGCCGAATCTACTCTGTTTGCACCGGCACTCTAATTAATTATCCGCCATCTCCGATAATGTAACACCGCGCGAGGCGCGTTCCCGCTCTCTACGAATATCCGAGATTACGACCGCGTCCCGAGAAAGCGACAAAGGACAATTTTAATTTAATTTTAATAAAAAAGGACGTAATTTTCGAAATGAACGGTTGTATTAACGGGAATTTTCCGCAATCTTGTATTTGACGAAAACCTGCATTTTAGAAAATAATCTCAGCACTGTACATTAGGGTTGCACAAGACCCAAGACAAGACAATATTCGTAAAAATATTGTATTGGTATTGAAAATTTTCAAAAATTTAAATCTTGTCTTAGTCTTGAGTGAATATTGGTAGCAAGAATCTCGTCTTGTATTGTTTTATCTCGATTTTATTAACACTTTTTTAACTAATATTAAAACATTATTTAAATAATATTTAACATAATTTTTGTAATATAATTTGAAATAATTATTACTATTGTATTATATTTTAATAATAATTATTACTATGTAATCGATATAAATGCCGTTTATTTACTTAAAAAAATATTTATTGTTTCATGGAAAACAGAAATTAATAATTATTTACAGGCTCCAAAGGAATGTGCAGATATAAATATTTTGGAGTGGTGAAAAAATCAGATTCATATATATCCCACATTGTCAAAAATGACTCGAGACATTTTAAGTTCAACTGCCTCGTCCGTGCCAGTAGAAAGACTTTTCGCAATAGAAACTCTGACTATGTCAAAAAATAGAACCAGATTACAAAGTAAATCTTTAAAAGCACTAATGTGCATCAATTCCTGGGTGAAATGCTCTTTAATGTCTAAAATTTGCGAGTTTGATTTCTAATTTATAAAAATGTTATATTATATTAATATTAAATGTTTTTAAATTTATCAATATAAATGTTTTTATTGAATAAAATATTTTTAAATTCGTATATAGTGATTTTTTTTTCATTTACAAATATAAATATTTTAGTTTTTTTGAGAACCAATAATCTTGATAAGACTAATAATCTTGACAGTCTTACAATTAGTCTTGGTATTGTCTTGATAACTAATTAAAAATCTTGTCTTGATCTTGTCTTGAAATTCAAGACTAATCTTAGTATCTCGTGCAACCCTACTGTACAACAAATACATTAATGTATTTTGGAATTAAGTTATTTAAGAAATTTATCGAAAAATATGACGCCAATTAAAAAAAATCCGAGATATTGACATATAAAATTATTTATTATTAAAACTTTCAAATCTTTTATTAGAATCTATGTCTATGCCTCAAAAATTCTTCGAGCAAAAAAATTTACTGAATTCTAACTATAAAGATATTTAATATTGAGAAACAAATTTTAATTATAAGGGAAATAATAGCCAATGAAATTTTAAAAATATAAATGTAATGAAAATTTGTTTTCGAATTATTTTAGAGTGGATTTATACGTAATTTTATAATTTCATTTTAGATTTGCCGAGATGTATTTAATCAAGTGGAAATTTATACGTATGAAACAAGCAATAATTTTGACTTCAAAATAATAAGATCTCTCAATAAGATTTTACATTGAGAATTTATTGAATAATGTTAAAATTATCTTCACTAATAAAAAAATCTTGCGTAAAATCTAATGTAATAATAAAATTGAATTTATAAATTTCCAATATAATGACTACGTTTATATTTAGATTTTTATCTGATTGATAGCATAACAGAATCATGTACTAAAAAAATATAAAGAGCTATCTTAAAGTGAGATACTGTCATTGAAATGACAGAATCTAAGAGGAACAAAATTTATTTCGATATTTCTTCTGCTGTTCTAACTTTCCAACGACAAACGGCACGTGCAAACGCAACGCATGAAAGTTATATGTTGACGCTCATCCACCGGATGGACAAATACTCGTCGAGCACCACTCGGTAACGCGGGGAGCTAATAAAAGGAGTCGCGCTGTTCCATTATCAAAGCTTTCTAAGGGTTCTCAGCTAACCGCTTGTCTGTAAATGGACACGCGACCTCGCCAAACTCTTTTTATTACACTGATATCCACAGATGATCAAAGATGAACAATCCGACTTCGTGCATGTGATAAAGCTTATAGCAATAGTTTGCATGCAAAATTTATTAACAGATTTCTTTTTCCCACTCTTTCGATATTTACAATATTCAATTGTCGAAATTATATCACTGAATAATTAATTAGTGGGACAATTAGAGCAATTATATTCATTTTTCTATGTGTAATGGCATAAAGAAACACTATAATATTTTTTCCAAAAGAAAATCATAGACAATAATATTATTTATAAGTCTGATATTATTGTAGATATTATTAAAGTATGATATTTATAATTTTTAAGTCGCTCATCAAATTTAGTAAGTCGTAATTTAGTAATTTAGTAATTCAATAATAATTCGATAATGATTTTATTATGTTTTCTCTACTATTTTTAATTCTAAATAATAATTTCTATATCTTTCATCATTCTTATGAAAAATTAATAATATATTTGAAAATTTGAATCTTATTTTTATTAAAAAAAAAAAAGAAAGGAATAGTTAGTAATATTCTTTAATTAATTATTCACTGCTGTGTGCATCTATCATAAATAATTTATTTATTAATCAATTTGTTGTTAACTAAATTCGTTTTAAGATTACGAGGACAATGATATGTACTTCACAGTTTACTTGAGTATAGGTAAAGAACTATATAGGGCATAGATCTGAAGTATGCACTCGGTAATATAGAAGGCTAATAGAAGAAGTCACGCAGTGCTATTGTTAGTGGACAATGCTGCAGATGGTTAAAAATGATTCTCATCTCCCTATGCTCGCTGTTGAATGAGAGTGCGCGAAGCACTTAATGCGTTTTTGTACGCGTTATATTTCAGTGTGAATTACCAATTGTTAGCAAACCGAAGTATTTTATCTCACAAAAAGCGTAGACTACACATAATATTTAATTATATACTCAACAACAAACCCGATATCAGAAAGTGAATATCTTCAGCGATAAAATATTTCATACATCTATTATTGGATATAGAATTAAAATAATACATATTTTCAAATATTCTATAAAATTCGCAATAATTTTCAGCAAAATTCTAATTTTCATTCCTTATAATTCTCAAATATATTTATAAACATGACTTTCTTAACAGCAGCATTTTTAGAATACAAGCGTTATTTTAATTATTATATAGAAAATATTTGATCTCAAACATACATAATTTTATATAATAAAAAAATTACTTCATCGATATATTAATTCAGGTAGATAATGAATATTACAATCTATTATAATTACAAATTATAATTACATTATATAATAATAAAACATGTCAGGCAACATGCATAAAAATATAGATATGCAGAAAATTACTGTTAACCTTAACAATACTAAGATATTTTCAATATATCCTGTATACAATGCTCCATATCCTGTATACAAATTACATTGTAAAAATTAGTGATGTACTTTGCATTTATAAAATACATAAAATTATATTTTTACATATTATATATTTTATATGATAAAATATTTTTTTCAAAATGTTTTTCTTATATAGCAAAACATTTTTTTCAGCATTTAATTAATTAAATTATTAATAATTATTAAATTATTAATTAAATTTATTAATATTTTATCTAACATTATTTTCTTTACTTGAAAACATTATTTTATTTATGTGAAAAAAGAGATCATAAAAATTTTTTAATAGTGAATGCACATAAAATAGTCATAATATCATCTTGGTAATAAGATTAAAATTTTATTTTACGAACTTACATATAATCGATGTATTCCTTTTCATGTTGCGATGCAAATAGAGTTAGAATTTTTATTCTGTAGAATTTCTATCCTTAAATTCCATTAGAGCATTTTGGTATCTGTAACAATTCAAATAGTCATAATATCATCTTGGTAATGATAAGATTAAAATTTTATTTTGCATATTTACATATAATCGATGTATTCCCTTTCATGTTGCGATACAAATAGAGTTAGAATTTTTATCCTGTAGAATTTCTATCCTTAAATTCCATTACAGTATTTTGGTGTCTGTAACAATCCAAATTGCAAATAATTAATAAGACCATTAACATATGCACACAAACATATATCTAATCTACAATAACATACAAATTACTTACAAACTATATTCTCCTTTAGAATTATGCCAGTAGTAATGATAGTACACTTTGTCCACTTTGTCGTATAACTTTATAGCCTCAAACTTTTAAACCTCCTAACCTGTAATAACGATTAAGATTTGCATTTATTAAATTGGAGATTATTTATTAGATAAAAGATAAGATTATAATATATTTGTAACAATTAAAGAGTTCTGAAGAATAATGTATTATAAATATATATAATAATGTGATTAACAAAATTTTAAAATAAAATATAAAATATGAAACACACATTTATCTAAAAAAATATTATGTACATATTTATTCTGTTATAATTTATCATTCAATCCGTGCGGTTAATTTTATCACAACAGTTAAAATTAACATTTTAAAATAACACTAAAATTATATATGTTAAGGTTATCTGAATCCATATTTCGTTTATGTTCTTATAACACGAGAAGGAGAAAGACTTTTGTAAATAAAATATATTATTCAACAAACCTTCATCAAGCCGAATTTCTGAAGCAAAATCTTGTGTCATATCTCGATCATGAGTGAAACATTTATAAAACGCGCACTATTCGTTAATTTTGCGATTCAGCGAATTGTATAATCTCTATAACGCGCGTAATTAACTTCATTCAAATTAATATAACTCATAATTTTATGTGAAATAATTCGTTGAAATAATTCACTTGAATACTTAACAGCGTCAAATCGTACTAAACGACACCAAACAACGCGCGAAAATTGTGTGATGTAACTATAATATGGCGACTTCGAGGGCTGCGTTCCAAAATTCACTGCCAATACTGAAAATCTATAATTTACGTGACGTACACTATAGATTTTCAGTACTGGCAGTGAATTTTGAAACACAACCAATCTGTGTTCGAGACGTCATGATTACGTTATAGTAGAGAACCTCTAGGAGAGAGAATGGACAACTGATCATGTGACATGTGATCAAGCTTTTTCATGATTGGCTGGCAGAAAATGTATCAATTTTAGCTATTGCGACGCCAATGCAAAATATGATGGCACACAAATAGGTTAATATATGTGTGTCATGTGTGTCCTATTTGTGTGTCATCATATTTTGCATTGGCGTCGCAATAGCTAAAATTGATACATTTTCTGCCAGCCAATCATGAAAAAGCTTGATCAGTTGTCCATTCTCTTTCCTAGAGGTTCTCTACGTTATAGCAGTCGTGATCACGTGACTATTCAAAAGTAAGTATCAGTACATTTCGCGCTTTTCTATTTCACCGTTTTAGAAAAAGATAAAGAAACCCTAATGCAAAGATATCAATGTAATGATACTAAATATCCGCATCCTTGTATAAGATCGACATAATAGGTTAATAGAAAAACGATATACATATACATACGTTGGCGATAAATTACCCAGGTAGAACATGAAACTCATAATGACATCATTATGACGTCACCTAAAAGTCATTTTAGAAAAATCATAATGATCTCATTTGATATACTTTTGACAATGTTTTGGTGACTTATTAATATCATTTTTTATATACAGGGTATTCGAAAAGTGTATGGTACCCCCCTATTATCTCAAAAAGAACACACTTTCACGGAAAATGACTTGAACAAAAGTTGTAAGGGTCGTAAAGTACTATCTTGTAGTGATCTTGAACTTGACCTTGAAGGTTATTTGTAGGTCACCTTGAATTTTTTAAATGGAACACCCTGTATATTTTTGCACATTCTTATAGCCACCGACGAGATACTATTAAAGACCGATGGTCTTATGGGACTTAGTGTAACCCGAAAAAAACGTGCAAAATGCTACTGTAGGTAATAAAATTTTTACATTGTCGATAATAAAATAACGATTTTATACATAATTTATCATTTTTGAAACAGATATATAAAAGATTTATACATTTTCGATAATAAAACAATAGCAGAATGAAAATACTCGTATGATTTAAATAACTCTTGTAATTGTCTGCAATATAATCAAAACGGCCGATAATATCATCAATCTTCTATTATCTCCGGGTCTACCGGGCCCACTTGGCGGTTACGAAAATTTACTCAAGACTGTCGATCTTTAACAGTATCTTGTCGGTGTTATAGCTTATCTCGAGAGCTTTCCAAAACACTATAATTAAGTTAGTTTTCATTAAGTACTTTCCGAGTTATGAGGCTTAAAATCATTTCTTAATTTTACATAAACCGTAATATATCTAGTAAAATATTCATTTTTCGACTATCTTGCCTTAATACTTTTATATACAAAATAATGAGAGAAATCAATTGGTGTAAAAAAAAAAACACATAGTTGTTTCAAAGAAAAAATATGTAATTGTTAATTGCAAATTACATATTTTTTCTTAAAAATAACTATGTGTTTTCTTTACACCAATTGATTCCTCTCATTATTTTGTACATAAAAGTATTAAGGCAAGATAATCGAAAAATGAATATTTTACTGATATATTAAGGTGCAATTTCATTGACACTAAAAAGTAGCGTCAACCATTGGTTGAACAAAGAAGTAAGTAGTTGCTTCATTGTTTAACCAATGGTTGACGCTACTTTTTAGCGTCAATGAAATTGCACCTTTACGGTTTATGTAAAATTAAGAAATGATTTCAAGCCTCATAATTCGGAAAGTACTTAATGAAAACTAACTTAATTATATGTTTTGGAAAGTTCTCGAAATAAGCTACAAGAATGTGCAAAAATATACAGGGTATTCCATTTAAAAAATTCAAGATGATCTACAAATAACCCCCAAGGTCAAGTTCAAGGTTACCACAAGATAGTACTTTACAACCCTTACAACTTTTGTTCAAGTTTTCCGTGAAAGTGCGTTCTTTTTGAGATAATAGGGGAGTCCCACACTTTTCGAATACCCTGTATATTACGCAATTATTTGTTTATTTAATTATTTATGTATATTTTAATTATATTTAAACAACATAATCTTTTTAAAATTATATAATGCGATTATTGAACTTAAAAATTTATGATTCTTTTTGTCATCTTTAACTCATTTTTTAATCATTTTTGTTTAAGTAATTTTTAAGTGATAAATAAAATCATGATGACGTCATAATGATGTCATTATGAGTTTCATATTCTACCTGGGTATATCGAAAATGTATAAATCTTTTATATATCTGTTTCAAAAATGACAAATTATGTATAAAATCGTTATTTTATTATCAACAATGTAAAGATTTTGTTACCTACAGTAGCATTTTGCACGTTTTTTTCTGGTCCCATAAAACCATCGGTCTTTAATAGTATCTCGTCGATGGCGATACTTATATAACAATGAAGGTCCGATACTTCATGAAAATACATTCGCATACACTTTTGTGTGTGTGTGTGTGATGCGCGAGATTTATTTTTATATACTAATAAAACCATAGACATATTAACATAGACTGCTCATAAGGTAGCGAGAAGTGTTCTCCTGAGAAAAAAGAATAACATGAAATTTATTATTAAAGTCAATAACTAGAAATTGCATCATGCGTATGTCAGAAAAAGACAGATACAAAAGTTAATTCATGCTATTCTTTTTCCTCAGGAGAACACCCTCACTTAGGTTTCACTGCCTTATAAGCAGTCTATGTTAATATGTCTATGAATAAAACCGAAGAAAATGCGGAGCGAAATGTAGCCGACTCGTCGCGACATGATTCTAACTGAAATATCAGTTGGAGAAGTGATACCGCGAACTTTGAAAAATTGGAACAATGAACAAATTATAGTATTAAGTTTATCTGTTTTATATTTTTTAATTATTATGAAATAAATATATATTTAGAGAGGAAGATGAAAAACATAAAATAATCATGAAAAATGCAACAACAATGAATAGATGTATCTATTATTTGACACGAGTGTAAACTTTAAAATATCTTAACAATTATGGAATATTAAATATTAATTTATAAACTATAATTGGCATATAATTAATACACTTTACTATGAAATTATTGAAGAGGATATTAAGAAAAATCTATAATCTAATTTTAAATATATTATTTTGAAAAAAATTAAAGTATAATTTTCGAGGAAAAATAAACAAAATGTGTGTATGTTTCGAGGATATAAAAAAATAAAAAAGCTATATGTATTGAAAGATATATAGATATATATTGATAGATGTATTTTCCCTGTGCAAAGAAAATACTCTTTATTGGTAAAATAATGTATCTTCATTATATATATCATATCATCATTTAAATCGATATATCGATATATCATCATTTAAAATAATATTAAGAACAGGTATGAATATTGTTTTATAACTGAAATTCGATCGTTTTGTGTTGTATATCTTCACTCTTTTGAGCTATTCTATTGCATATATAACGATGCATACATATGCGATTTCTGTACAACAATATTTAAGAATGTTTTTTGTATTATTGATAGTCGAAGATGCATGATATCTAAATTAGCATTTCAGTATTATACGAGATAGCATAATAAAAAATTCATGCATTATTGAAAAAGATTTCTTCAAAATCTCAATTCATATCGATACATATCGTATAGCGTATATCTATGCATGAATATATTTATTTAGTTTCCTCATATTTCCTTATGTTTGTACATATTAAGTTATAATGTAACAATTTATTACATAGGAAAACGATAAAATTCAGTATAACATGTCATTACAATTTCTTTATATAGCATTTTTTTACAGACCATTATCATATTTAAGATTTTGAGACTCAAAATCTTGCTATGATCCATCTACTTACAGTGAATCATAACTTTAATAGCACCGCCCGCACCAGTTCTACTAGTCTCAAACGCTTGCTTGGTGTCCTCTATTTTATAATTGTGAGTAATCAACGGCTTTACGTTTACCCTGCCAGATGCGATAAGTTCCAATGCGTCGTTATAGCTAGAAATTGGAAAAAAATTATACATAGGAAAAATTTTATTAAATATAATATTAAGCTAAAAAGTTTAAATCTCTTCCTGAAAAATAAATTAATTACAATTCTAAATTATATATATATATATACACACACACACACACACACACACATATATATATATATATATATATATATATATATATATATATATATATGTTTCAAAATGTCATTATATTTAATATCCATTGTTGTTAATTACTGGAACTTACTCATTTACATATCGAAAGACACCCCTGATGTCAACTTCCCTATTTGCAGCATTTATTAATGGAATTTGTACTTCTGGAGCACCCAATCCCACTAATGTCACGATTCCACCAGATTTTGTTGCCTGATAATACAATATAAATACGATTTAGATTATTAAATATGTTAAATATATTACATATGTATATTATATATATATATATAAGTACATATTATAAAGCAGGGAAAGATACTTTTTAAAAGTAACCAGTTACCGTTACTCGTTACCAAGTAAAAAAAGTAACTTGTTGCCGTTATTAGTTACTTATTTTTAAAAGTAAGTAGTTACCGTTACCATTACTTTTAATGTTAAAACAAGATAGAATTAAATAAAAAATTTATTTTGGTAATATCTTTTATTAAAATATTAATAAAAGCAACAAATTTTTTATTTTAAATTTATAAAACCGTAAAAAATTTAAAGAGATATAGATTTTAAAGCACTTAATATGTAACTTCGCATGTAAATAAAAAATTTTAATTTCCATTAAATTTATAAATATAGCTAAATTTATATTCTTTTTGTGCTCTCGTCCAATATTACGTCACAACTTAAAAGCTGGGCAATTACATCCATTCCTCAGAAGAATGAAATAATAACTGTGATTTGACCAATGATGTCATTAATCTTAGAGATATCTATGAAGCTAGCACGACAATCTATGAAAAAATACTAAGAGTTCTAACAGCACTTTTCAGTTCTATTTATTCTTATACTTTCATAGTTCCTGATAAAAATTAAAAAGAGTTCTGCATTCTTTATATTAAAAAATCGAAATCGAATAATGTGGTAACTTCGCGAATCTAGCACGACACTCTTTCCTCTAAAATACCAAAACGCGTTGAATATTATTTTTAGCAAGAGTTCTTTCAATAATTTCAATAATTTCAATAATTATTATGAAAAGTGCTATCAGAACTCTTAATAATTTTTTTTTTTAATTTGTAGATTTTCGTGCCAGCTTCACAGACACCTCTCAGAGCAATAAATTTCATCCGAAGTATTATCGAATTTTATATGAATGTTGGTCGATGACTAAAAATTGAATATGACAGAAATACGATGTCAGTAAGTATTTTTAAAATATGAAAAGTAATGATAAAAGTAACTATTAAAATTATCGTTATCGTTATTTAAAAAATGTAACTACGTTATCGTTATAGTTACAGAAAAAAAATGTAATGTACCGTTACCAGTCCGTTACCAAAAAAAAGTAACTATAACGGTAACAGCGTTACAAGTAACGCGTTACTTTCCAACTCTGTTATAAAAGTGTATATTTTGAAACTTACAAGAATCGCCAAGCGAATTGATGCTTGTGCACCGGATGCATCTACTGTTCTGTTAGGTTCATCATCAAAAATTGCATGAATGTCAGCCACTACGTCCTTTTCTGATTTATCCTTTTGCAATAGATATGTATCATCGGCGCCAAGTTTCTTCGCCATCTTCAGTCTATTTTCTAAGATATCTATAAATATAAATCATGCCTACATTTACATCTTATTTACAACTTCTATAGATTACATTTAGAATTCATCAAAAGAAAACTTGTATGTTACTTGTAGAATGTATATTTTATTATCTACACAAAAAAGATGGAAATATATGTATTAGAAAAAAAAATATTATTTTGAAAAGAATCGCTCTCCACACTATATCCTTTAATATACAATTCAAATAAAAAAGTGACACTACTAAAGACTACTACATAATATGTGACATATTGTGAGTGATCTTGATAATGCATGTCCTTGTTCCACAAGTAGTATTTGTCATGCTAAGTGCAATCTCGACGATTTATCTTATGAACGATTGCAACACTGTTGCACAATCTCCATATCTCAAATGTGAATGTATTTCTTTCTCTCATACGTATCTCTTTCTTGATATAACTTGATAAACCATTATCATTTTTAAATGATAGGCAATATACGTTAAGTAAGAAATTTTATTATTAAAAATGTAATCATTAGAAGAGAAAAACCTTTAAATACGTATTTATCTTTTATTTCACATATCGTATGTTTTATTTCTGCGTGATTACTTTTACTATAAATAATTAATAATAAGATACAAATATATTTGTCAATTTATTAGCTTATGCTCCTCTCAATTGTTTGCAGAGACTATTTAAATAAAAGTAATATGTATATATTAAATAAAAAAATAAGATATAAAAGATCATTTGAATTTTCTAAGAGAACTTAAGAGCACTTTCTCTTTCGTCTAAGATTTTATATTTTAAGCACATACCCGTGATAACGACTTTATTAGCGCCCATAGCTTTGGCTACCAATAACGTCACCAAACCAATTGGACCAGCTCCCAGGATTAATACTTTAGAATTGATGCTGATTTCACCACGTTTACAAGCATGCACTGCCACTGATAATGGTTCTAAAAGCGCTCCTTCTTCTAAACTCACGTGATCGGGCAATCTGTTACATAATCAATTTTTGTTAATTTGCAAAATTATTATTTTTTTAAAATTAAATTATATATATTTTAGAAAATTATCTAAGCATTGTTTGCATGTTCGCAAACTATTACATTTTAATATAAATTTATGCGAATGAAATATACAATTAGTTAAGCTCACTTGAAGCAGAAATCAGCCGCATGTTTGTAAAAACGTCTCAAGCTGCCGTGCACGGGCGGAGTCGCGCAAAACACTATATCCTTGCATAGATTATAACGCCCTTCTTTGCAAAAATTGCATATCCTACAAGGCACACCGGGTTCAATGCCAACGCGGTCGCCAACCTGTATAAGAAATGAAGAATGTGCATAAGAATATATTTTATATGGGAATAATACAAACAGATAATTCTTCAATAGATAATAACATGATCATTTAATAAAAACATAATTATATGTACATGTATGTGTAACATAAACAATATACATACTTTCAAATTCTTGACATTTTTTCCAAGTTTAGCAACAGTACCAGAAGACTCATGACCGATAATCATAGGTTTCTTCAAGATAAAGTCGCCGATCCTTCCATTAACGAGATAATGAACATCCGATCCACAAATTCCTACGCATCCCATTTCCAAAAGCACCTCTGCAATAAAATAATAAAATTTTCTATCTTGCTAGTGTGATTCATTTTTATCATCTTTAATATTGATAGTTATATCGATTATATATTAGTCATATTTGTTATATTTCATCAATTTTTCAAATTTTATCATAATTTAGATTTTCAATATTCTTATTATTATTTTAATATTTCTCTAATTTGAATTAAAATTATTTTCTAATCTATTAAAATGTATAAAAAATAATAAATGTTTGTTCCTATTAATTCTCTAATATTTCAATGAAATTAATTCTTATTTAGATCAACATTTTATGTAATTTTTTCTCATTTTTCATAATTTTACAGCAACTTTTTTATTTATAAAAAAAACAAGTATCTGGAAATAAATAAAGTATCTTTTCAACTAATTATATATAATTATATATAATAAATAATGTATAATATATATAATTATATATAATCAACTCCAAATATATATGCATTCAATGATAATAGAAACTTTAAATAAAAAATTAATTCTTTTAATTTATCACGCTTACGTACATATCTAGAATAGTGTTGCATATTACTTCGAACGTCACATTGTTAATAGTACTCAATGTAAATTGATTCATATCAAGATATTATGTAACGAATAAAGAGTGCTCTACTTTCGTATATTAAATCAATCTAAAAATAGATTTTCACGCATTTGCAATATTTCTTTGAAGAAAGAATAATTTTGCCAGCAAAGAAATGTTGATTAATTTAAACTGTTAGTGAAAATAATATTATTAGTGTTAATTATATTATTTATCATTAATAAAGTTATAATTATTCAAATCTGATAAGAAATGTAAATTAATATTAACGATATTATTTTCACAAGTAGCATAAATTACTCAAGCAATAATTACTCATAAATTATTGTTTCTTTGCTAGCAACATTATTTTCTTAAAAGGAATAGTGTACACTAATAGAATTTCTTGACAATATGTTTATTTTATTGGAATATAGTGATAAGGAAGATATTAACAATAAATAATAAGAGAAAAATAATATTTTTACCATTGTCTTCTGGTTCTTCAATACTCGTATTTTCCTAAAAAAAAAAAAAAAAAAAAAAAAAAAGATTAATTAAATTTAGTCCATTAGATCTAATTGCAAGACACATATTTATTAATGATAAAAAAGATTACACACACACACGACACAACCACACACACACACACACACGAACACACACACACACACACACACACACACACACACAATGTAGAAATGTGATGTGAATCGTCAATTTTAATGAAGAAAATTGATTTAAAGTTATTATGTTTTCTATTTTTGTTGAAGCAAAAATGGTTTTAGTACGGAAAAGAGATTATTGTTTAATGAGAATACTTGAATAATATAAATTTAAAGATCAATCTGTTACATTAAGTGCAGTCAATTTATAAAGCGGCTGCAATCTCTTATACTTAAGGGTCAACGTGTTATCGCAACAATGATAATTTAAATATTAAAAAATAATGTTTTCGTGATAATCTCAATAAGCCAGTAGTTTATCTTATAATTCGTATCATTTATTATGAAAATATAAATAAAATTATCTGTAAAGTTGGTACGTAATATCGCGATAATAGATAATTATATTTGTTTTTTGAGACAAACAATTATAATTATACTCAATATGACGTATTAGTATTTCTAAAAGATTAGATCAAAGAATTTATAAAAATTTGTTTTTCAAAATTATCCTATATTATTGATATTCGAGGATTTTGTCCCCAAAAAAGTCATCAATTATTTTCTTACATACATTTAATTATTTTACATATATATTAATATAAAATATATGAAAAATATATATTAATATAAAATAATTTTAAATATGTATTAATATAAAATACATGAAAAATAGTTTTATATTAGGATGTTTGCGCGATATATTATCGTAAATAACATCATTCTATAAACTAAAATTGACGTAAAGAGATCTATCCGGGTCAAGTAAACAATTCTAATATTAATCTATTTGGAATAGTTCACGATCTAATCATTTAAAGGACAAATATATAAAATCAATTATATATGTTGAAATTTTATGATTAATGTTAATTTCAACAGTATTTTTAATTATTATAATATTTTTAATTATTATAATATTTAATTGATGCTATGATATATAATTAAAATAAATACTATACCACTTCCGTTTTTTACAAATTAAAAAATTTAATCCTTTTAGCTATAATTATTTTTTACATTTTTTTACATTCAAAATAACATAAACATACATCTGAGGATTGCAAAAAACAAAATCATAGAAAAACGTAAAAGAATTCTATTTTTTTAAAATTGCACTTATAACGCGAATAAATACTACAAAAGTTGCCAATTTAATAGAATAATACACTTTAATATAGAAATTGAATATTATTATATTACAATATTGTATCTATATATTTAAAAAATTATAAACTGCATCGACTACATTATACAAAGTAGAATTATCATTTTTCAAACTACTGATAAAACATAATTTATTCATAACGTGGCATTTCGTGCTATTTTTTCATCATTCTTCAATAGTTAAAGCAAAATATTAGTTCAATGAAAGTTCAATGAAACTTGATCGAGAGATAATAGAGAGAATGAGACATTGAACTATAAAACTACCTGGAACGAGCGCTGCCTTTGTTATTGCCCGGTGACCTCGAGCCGAGGGAGACAGTATCTATTTGGTATTCCCGTCTCTCTTTTTCATGTATTACCTTAACTAAAAATATATATCTGCTCATTAAAGTTGTGTACAGAACTTTTTCACCAAAAATTTAACAAAATAGAACATTATTTTATTTCGTTTATTATCGCCTTTATATTTCCTTAAATAATTCATTTCATTACAATAATATTTTTTATATATTCATTATTCGAACATATACTGACTAAGGTATGGGCACAGATAGTATGTTATGAAACTATAGGAGAAATACTATAGCATGTTAGTGTAACAGAGAAAGCGATTCCAAATATCGATGGCCTTCGTTGCACAGGCAGGCTCGGCTCGTAACAAAGGAACGCTCTTTCCAGTTAGTTCTATAGTTCAATGGAATGAGATGATAAGAATGATGCGCTCGATTCAATGGCAAGCGCAGTAGTGCAGCCACTATCTGTTTCTGCATCAAATACTAACCAAACGCAAATCGTTGACGGCGTACAATATAGCAGAAAGATTGTCCTTAGTCATGGTTTGAGGATTTGATTAAAAAAAAATCACTGTAACGAAATTTGTTTGTCAAAGAAATTCACGTTTCCTGAGATCCCGACAAGCACAGAACGAACGAAACGAAGAGACTCGGGGTTCAGGAGAGAACTCGCTGCTTATATACACGTGTCGCAAGTTATACGTATATGCTTGCCTTGTGCTATCAGTGGTTTTATTATCGTTCGCTGAGGCAAATTTTACCGTTATCAGCGAACATCCCCTTAGTAGGCACAAACTGATCGAACGATCCGATTGTTTTTACGATTGCACCATCAGTCGTTGCGTCACAGAGATACGCTATTTTGTCGGAACTAGTAAATCGATCCGCGCACTGTATATTGTAATCTCGCTTTTCTGCTATCAATGAGCCCTATTTTCCCGCGGTCACGTGTGACGTTGATAAAGTAACGTAATATGTGATATAAAATACAAGTTAGGATTATCTTTTCGCTTATATATTTATAAACTTGAAATTGAATTCAGCACAATAAATGTTTGGAATATATTCAGAAATTTTAGAAATCTTAAATGTTTATCTTTTTCAGCGCATAACTCGTATATAATCGGGAGGGGTACATTCCTCAAAACTATGACTCATTTGGCTCAACGTTTTAAAAGAGAAGAAATTGATAAGATTTGTTAGATTTTGACTAGAAAAGAGCAAAAAAGAAAATTAATCTAGCTATAAAACCTATGCCCTATAAATGTCATATAAAAAATGTAACGATTTTGTAAAATGTAACGTTTCTTAGAATAGTAACAATTTTACTTTTAGATTTGGAAATGAGTTTCTTTTTTAATATGTGGGGAAGAAAATCGGATAATCTATATTTAATTTAGTAAGCTTAACATATGTTGCAAAAAAGTCTCACATTAAATATTAGCAATATTGTATTCAAAACTTCATTAATAATGTATAGATCTTTATATACATTTAATTTATATAGCATTTATAATAATAAGTCATAATGCATTTTGTATTGTTGTTTTGATACATATTTTGTTATTATGTGCTAGTCACACATTTAAAAATATTAATAAATTATATAATATATATATAATTTAAACAATAGATTAGATATTTTTGAGAAAATTACTCCTTTCACACAAAATTGTTGTTTTCCCATAACATAAAAGATACTTAACATTAAGATAAGTATTTTTATGAATTCTTTTAAATACAAAATATATTAAGGTAAGTAAAATATTTATCTTATCTGCACAAATAAATATTTTTACAAGACTCGCGAAAAACAAGTATGGTAACATCAGAAATCGATTTCTATTATGTAACTGATAATCGCAATATGTAGAGATAATAGCAAAGGATAAATAATGGAAATGTACAAAGAAATCATTTATATTCGCGAACGTGTATTTGTATCAAATTATTAACAAAATGATATCTTTTTAATTAAAATGATTTTTATGTTATATGCTTGATAAATGACTTACAATGTATGACTACTGCTTCATTCCAAACCCCAAATTCCTGTTAAACTTTCTTTAACTGTAGCCCTATTTTCTCTTCGTATCCTTGTCACTGCGCTCGCTTCTCCTTTCACAATTTTCCTCTTTGATTGGCTCTTCTTCTCGCGATTGTCAAGTGCAATTTTTACCTTTTTTTTTATCACTTTTGGAGCGATTGTGGCAGCTGTTGAGACACTCCGTATACTTTCTATATCATCATAATCATTAATATAAGCTACTTTGTCTTCTACATCTGATGATAAATCATATAATGCATTACTATGTTCTTTATCAATCAATATATTTTCTATATTTTCATTATTCTGTTTGCATTTATTTCCTGAATTGTTTTGTTTCTCAGAACATATTGTTGTAGATATTTCCTCAAAGTATTCATTATTATCTTTTGTTATTGCATTACACATAAAAACAGTAGATTTTTCTTTTTTTTCAGAAATTTCAGATTTAAGCTGTAAATTGTTTATTTGATCTTCTAATCCTTCAACATTATTAATGCAATCTTCATATATTTCTGTCTCATTATCTTCTTCATTTTCAGCATCTATTGTTATGTTCAGTTCTTTTAAGAGATCTTTTTGCACCTGTTTCATTAAGCCACTAGCATTGACTTCAGCATCTATGCAATCTTCACGTCTAAAAGAAACCAAATGTTATTTATTGAATTAAATAAAAAATTGAATAAAAATAAATAAAGAATATACATTCTTTTGTTACTTACGATATATCTTGGAAAGTTGGATACAGTTCACTCACATACCCAAAACGTCTCTTAAAAAAATCACGAACACAGTTCACATCTCTTTGAAAGTATTCTTCTGCATTCTCATGTTCTGTAGAAATCATTTGTGGAAAATCAATAATAATTGGTTTACCATCATCTTTGATCATTATGTTAAATTCATTAAAGTCTCCATGAATAACACCATGATTTGCCAATCTAACAATCAAATCCATAAGTTCATCATACAATGCTTCTACATTGTTTACTTCATGTACATTACATCTGCAAATAAATCAAGCTATGTAATCGAAACAGTATGTAAATCTAAAAAGTAGAAATGTTATTGACAATCCAAGAAAATGAATATTATTGATAAACATACAGAGGTCCACCTTCAACCAGCTCCATTACAACACAATGTCTGTTAAAATCAATTGGCTTTGGTACAGGAAAACCTCTATCCAGGAGCACTTTCATATAGGCAAACTCTCTAGCTGCCGAAATTCTTGATAAATATAACCAAGATGCAAAATGCCTGTGTTGATGATAATCTCTTTTTCCTTTAATATTTCGGAAGCATGTTCTACCTAGCCTATGTAACTTTAGACAAAGGGAAGTCCTTTCTTCATCGGCAACAATATAAATATTAGATTCCTTGCCAACACCAATCTGATTACCAAACGAAGAAATTATTCCTCTTTGTGTTAAGACTTTCAGAGCCAAGTAATCATAACCAGCATTTGTCAAACGATAACCATCATCTAAATTTATTATTATTATTAAACATTTTTTAAATGTATTTTTAACAAAATTTAGTTATATATAACTGATTTCCTATGCCTTACATCGCATCCCTCGTTCATAGCTCAGCAACTTGTGTTTGCACAACTCTTTCAATAATTTCTGAACTCCACCATAACGCAGATTCGCTACTTTTGCAGCGAGAATTCCAGGTATGAGTTCGTGATTTTTCGAGCATATTTCAATCTAAAAAGGATTGGATAAATATTTATTATTAGATTAATCTGTTTATTATTTTTAGATTATGAGTATATTTGAAAAGTTAAAATCATCATTTGACATGATAAAATATATACAAATATATACAAATTTTATTGCGAGAAAAAGCGACCATTTTGCATATTTATCAAGAAAATAATATGGAAGTAAATTCTTGTGTAGTTTGTAATATTTTATAAAAAAGGAATACAAGTTGAAAAGTCCTATTATAGATTAAGAAATACATACCGCTGTTAAAACACGAAAATCTTCCGACGTCAAATATCGCAACAATTTAACATCTAATTTTCCCATGTTTAATAAATAAATGATAAGTAAATTCAGACTTTTTCACATGGACTTAAGAAATACAGGACAGAACATATTGCTGCAGGGATGAAGCCCAAAAGGTAAGGCGAATGAAATGTCTATTGTAACGGAAATGAGGCATCTAAGATGGCGGCAATGGATTAGTTCACGGAGTGTGATATATTTGAATGCCTATTTCTATAGCCAGAGAGAAACCTGAGAGCGGCCACCTCGCTTTAACGACATTGTCCTAATGCGCCGCCTGACAAAGTGGACGTCAACTACAGTCCATTACAGTCGATAATGATACATGGTTCGTGTCCGAGCCATGATTCATGTCCGAGCTATGGTTCATATCCGAACTATTCACATGAGATGGACATGAGAGTTAGACAAGAGCCGATAATCTATCGTTCTGCTTTTGTCTCACCAACGATGGCAGACCACGTGGCGGTAGGCATGAGGCGAACGGTGATTTTCTATCGTAAAGCTCATGTCTCCTTCCATTCCTCGTCGGCCCCATCCCAGATAGCACAGTGAATTCTAACAGTATTCTTTAAGTTTTCTCTTTTTTAAATTGTAATTCTTTAGAAATTCATAGATGAATACAATAAGAATGATTGTGGAAGTTACATGCACCATGATTGGAATTCTTGAGAACTTCTTAAAGTATTCATATAGTATTCATATAATATTCATATAGTATTCATATAGTATTTATATAATATTTATAAAGTATTCATATAGTATTTTTCCATTTCCATAAATTTAAACTTTATGAATTCAATGGGAATAGTATTTGGAGTAATATTTGGGAATAGTATATGGAACACTGAAAGAATATACTAAATCTAAAAAAATAATTGATTTCAATATTTGCAAGAAAATATTTATTTATATTAAGCCAAAATATATTTGAATCATTAAAATATACATGTATACTTTGCTGATTCAAATATATTTTTGCTTAACATAAATAAATATTTTCTTGTAAATATTGAAATCAATTATTTAAATAAATATTTTCTTATAAATATTGAATCAATTATTTTTTTAGATTTAGTATATTTTTTCAGTAAACATAAGGCATTTTGCAGGAAAAATTAATACACAATATTATTAATATTTAACTTCTTTTTAATATAACTTCTTATTTAAAATTAAATGTATGTGCATACAATACCCATACAGCACATGAACATTGAATAAACATCTCAGAAACATTGCAATACAATTTTGCAATGTTGCATCAACGTTATAAAATATAGATTCAACGTTGAAAATAAATTACAGAAACGTCTAATGTCCGCTGAATTGCAATGTCTTGTAAATGTAGCAATTCAACATTCAAAAAACATTTATTTAATATTGATTTAATGTTGATTTAATATTGGTTTAATATTGATTTAATATTGATCAATATTGACTTAATGGTTGCTTAGCAGTTGTAAAACATTTTTTTACAACTGTTAAAAGTTTTCTGTGTTGAGATTAGATTTTTTTAAGTCTAAAAAATTAATCCAATCTCAATTTAAGAAAACTTTTAATAGTTGTAAATAAAATGTTCTACTAAACACATCTATACATATATATTATGCGATTTCATAATAAATAACTTCATAATAAAATGTTAAATTTGTATAAAGATGTTTTATTTAAAAAATATTATATATATATATATATATATATATATATATATATATATATTACTCTCCATTATTAATTAATTATTATAATAAAAAGTTACATACATATATGAGTTGATAATTATAAAAGATTATTATGAGTTATGTGATGATGACGAGGTCGCTTTATCTATGTTTTCTTCAATATATCGACATTTTCTAAACACACATTACATTAATGAATTGTATAATTATACATTATGTACACATTTTATTTATATATAAAAAAATTATGTACATACTTTCTCTCGCGACGAGCTTTGGCTTGTACTAGCCATTTTGCGATGATTTGGGCAATCTCCGTCTCAGTCGTATCTTTATAATGAACGCAGACAGTTTCTATTGTAGTTCCATAAAATTAGTAACATATTAATACCAATATGACATGCTGACACATAATCAAGGAGAAGTTAAGTCTTAAAAATCTGTAATAGTATAACACTTACTAAGTATGATTTTATACAAAATCAAATCTTGAAAAGCCTTTTTCTTTTTTGCTCCAGCCATGTTGTACATTTCAGCCAAGGGATTAGTTATCAACTTTTTCAATAAATTAATCGTGCAAGAATGCACATCGAAACCTCCCAAGCCTTTTAATGTATATACCTATGATATAAAATAAATAATTTAAAAAATACATATTGATAAATATTAATTTAACAGTGATTTAGCAGAACATTTTTTTACAACTGTTGAAAGTTTTCTGTGTTGAGATTAGATTTATCTAGGTCTAAAAAAATAATCCAATCTCAATTCAGAAAATTTCCAACAGTTGTAAAAACGTTCTGCTAAATGCACTTATTTTATGATTTTATAAATAACATGTACACTTTATAAAATATTAAATTTGTATATATATATAAAGATATTCTATTTAAAATATATAACTTTCTAAATATTCAAAATGTTCTTTGCATCGCGAGCAAATATAATAACAATATTTAAATATTTAAATATTTAAAAATACAAATTTAAATATTTAAAAACAATATTTAAAAATATTTAAAGGTAAGAAATAACATACCATGCTTTCAAAAAATTCTTTGTTCTTCAATTTTGTTTCTAAAATATCCAATGCCAATTCATTATGCAAAGGTAATCCTATTTAAAAATATCCTATTTCTTCATCTTGAAGAATATCATCTTCATGTCTGTCAAGGCTGAAACGACATTGCTCTTCGTGAATCTTCAGTCTCTTGTCCACCATTTTTACTTGATGAATAATAATGTTCAGTTTGCGAAGTATTTCTGTTTGAAAATCTGCATAATAAATTTTAAATCCTTTATATGAACACCAATAGGAACGACCAATCGGCGCAATAATATATATATATATATTTTATGTAAAAAATACTGATTTTGAGCATTGTAATGCATATTTTACATAATATTAAAATATTAAAATTTCTTGAGAAATATATTATTTGCAAAAGTATTTAAAATGATATGAATAAACAATTCTCTATTCTGTGCTTTATCCAAACATTCAAAAAGTACACAAATGGAAATAACTTAATGATTATAATGAATAATAAAAAATAATTATTTTGCAGATTCACTCTATTCAATAATTTGTTCGCCTAAAATTTTGTAAAAAATGTTTATTTTGTTTTAACTATACTTAACTATGACTAAATATTTACCTGTTTTACATGATGATGTAGATTGTTTTCCCATTTACATGAAATATCAGATTGCACGCTACTGGAAGATTTCTTCGTACTATATTTATTAAAATTATATAATGATGAATTAATATCAGTATTGCTTGTTTGATTGTGAAATATCTTTTTTTTCTTTTCTGGTAGCGTCTGTTATCGTCATATTGAATTGATTCATTCAACACTTTTTCTGAATGAATATTATCTCTCTGCATTATTTTCCTACATATAAATAAATATACACACAATAAATACAAATAAAACTAAAAAAATTATATTAACAGTTAGGAAAAATAATCTGGCCATTAATAATATATTAATTTACATTAACTTGATAATATATAGTAACTTTATAATATAATAAATAATAATTGTTCATTAATAAAAGCAGTGTTACAAAAAATTGTAGTTTATGTTTACTACAAAATATTTCAAATATAAAATGAACCTAATCTAATGATACATGTTATGTTAATGATATATGTTATTAAAGCAAGGTTGACATAATTTGTAGGCATAACCTATAGTGTGTTTTATTTACACATAATTAAAAAAATTAAAAGTTATATAACTTTCTTACTTTAAAATGTTTGATTATACATTTTATAAACACGTAAAATTACACGTAAAATTAAATTGTGAACTTAAATATATTTCAGATTGTAAATAATATTTTATTTAATATTATTAAAAAATAAGTTAATAAATTATAATTGTAAATAAGTTAATAAATTATAAAAAAATAAAATGAATTAGTTGTTGAAGCAAAAGAACTAGAAAATAACCTTTATAATGATACACAATTAATATACATGATGGGCTACATATTAATATTATAAACTCTTTTCTCATTATTATAAATAGTGATGATCTATTGTATTAAATAGGGATGATTTTTGTTTGCGGAATTCATCATGCTTTTAGAATTCATTGAAATTTTTATGTTATATGGGGATGACTCTGTATTTTATATTCTAGTATATTTTAATATTTATAATGTAAAATATCTTGTAAAATATTTATTTTTAGATATTACAAAACGTATATATTTTCCAAACAACTAATTAAATATTTTCTTGATATTAATGGATTTATTTCATTTTTTTGTTTATGAATATTTCGAACAGTCATGTTTAATATAGTTCAAAAATGAATATGTTACTAGATATTTGATATTAAGTGTCAAAATATATCAATAAATAAAATATTAAAAAATCTGAACTAATAAAGTATAATTTCATATATCATTTTTCTGCAGAATGTTAAAAACTGCTTAAATAATATATTCTGCTTAATATAAGCTAATAATATAAGCTAATAATATAACTGCTTTAAATAATATATTCAAAAATATATTTTGTTTAAATATATTTTGAGAATATAGCTTAAAAGTTTGTGTCTCATTCTGTATATCATAGCATATATGTAATACATACTGTACAGTTACTTCTTTTTCAATATGTACATCATTTTGTGTATCAGGCCACTGAGAGCATCCTGGTATATTTGGTGATAATAACATGTAATCAAATTGAGTTTCTTTAACAATTAAACGTCTCAAGTGTCGTTCCGAATATTTTTGGAACGTATTTTTCCATGGAATGGACATTGTATGTACTTCTTTTCTATTTAGAAATAAGCGAAAATTTTACAAAACAAATAAAAACTATTATAAATAACATTTAAAGAAGCACGCCCATAATCGCATTATTCCTATGAACATCTCCAACACAAGCATATGTATAAAATAATATCACATACATAAAATATATAACACATAATAAGCATAACCTTAA